GAAGTTTTTTCCCCGTGAAAAACGGCCAATTTTGGTGTTGTTCTCCCCGCTCGGCAGCGGCGTTATTAAAATGCTAATTTAAGAGCGGAAAAAAAAAAATTAAAAAAAAAAAAAACCACAGAAAAAAAAGGAAGAAAAAAAAAAAAAAAAAAGCCGGAGCTAAATATCTGGCGGTGCCGCAGCCTAATTGCAGCCCATAATGAGCTCTGGAAATGCGAGTGCCCCCGACACACGGAGAGCATCAACAGCCGCCGACACCTCATTAGCGGCCGCCTTCATTAATTCTGCCGGCCCCGCGCTGACCCCGCCGGGGGCCGGGGGGCGCAGGTGGAGCCGCCCGAGCGGCCCCGGGGAGCGGCGGCGGGGCCGCTCCGGTTGCCGCGGCAACGCGGGGGATGCGGCAGAGCCCGAGCGCTCCTCGGGGCGCCCGGGCCGCGCTGCGGAGCGCGGGGTTCGGAGCGGTGCGGCGGGGGGGTGGGAGCGCCGCTTGTGGGGTGTTTGACACCGGTTATGGGGGGCTTCACATCGATTTGGGAGAGATTCACCCCGATTTCGGCACATTTCACCCCGATTCCTGCATCCCTGAACCTCCAAATCCCCCCGTTCAGCGCCGGTGCGGCGGGGGGGTGGGAGCGCCGCTTGTGGGGTGTTTGACACCGGTTATGGGGGGCTTCACATGGATTTGGGAGAGATTCACCCCGATTTCGGCACATTTCACCCCGATTCCTGCATCCCGGAACCTCCAAATCCCCCAGTTCAGCGCCGGTGCTGCCGGGGAGTGAAAGCTCCGATTCTGGGGTGTTTCACCCCGATTCCGGCACATTTCACCCCAGTTCCAGCACGTTTCTTCCCGATTCCTGCAACTCCTGAAACCCCAAATCCCTGAGTTCCTCCCTCAGGTACTCCTGGAGATGTGAACCCCCCAATTCTGGCACATTTACCCCCCCAGCTCCTGCATATTTCTCCCCAGTTTCTGCACATTTCCCCCCGCAATTCCAGTGTATTTCCCCCTAATTCTGGCACATTTACCCCCAATTCCTGCATCCTTGAACCTCCAAACCTGACATTCCTGCACCCCCAAACCCTCCCAGGAACTTCTCTCTTTATTTTTGTTTTATTTTTGCCCACCTCGTTTCTACCACCCCCCCCCCCCGCCCCCAATTCCAGGAACTCAGGACCCCAAATCCCTGGGAATTCCACCCAAACCCCGCCCTGTGCCTTCCTGCTGCCCTCCTCACACCCCCGGATCCTTCTGGACCCCAAAATTCCTGAATCCTGAGCATCCCCCAATCCCAGCAGCCCCAAACCCCCAAATCTGACATTCCTGCACCCCCCAGATCATCCTGGACCCAAAAAATTCCTGAATTCTGAGCATTCCCCACAATCCCGATATCTCTGAACCCCCAAACACTCCCTGCACCCCCAGCTCCTCCTGAACCCCAAAAATTCCTGTATCCCGAGCATCCCCCAATCCCTGCACTCCCGAACCTCCTCAATTGACATTCCTGCACCCCCGGATCCCCGTCTACCTCAAAATCCCTGTATCCTGAGCATCTCCCAGTCCTTGCACCCCTGAACCTCCAAATCCAACATTTCTGCAGCCCCCAGCTCTTCCTGAACCCCAAAATTCCTGTATCCCGGGCATCCCCAAATCCCTGCACCCCCGAACCCCCAAACCCAGCATCCCCGCACCCCTGGATCCTCCTGAACCCCCAAAATTCCCAAATCCCGAGCATCCCCAAATCCCCGCACCCCCGAACGCCCAAACCCTCCCGGCCACTCCCTGCAGATTTTTATTTCGATTTTTTCCGCACTCCCCCTCCCTCTCCCCGCAATCCTGAGCGCTCAGGCCCCCAGATCCCCGGGAATCCCGGCCGAGCCGCGGCCCTGCCCTCCCGCTGCCCTCGCCGTGCCCCCCGTTCCGCCGTGCACTCCAGATGAACCGGCGCGGCGGCGGCAATGGCCCTTGAAGCGCGCCGGGGAGGTGATTTAGGAGAATATTAAAGGCGATGCGGAGCTGCGGCGGCGCCTCTCTCGGGGCGAGCGGCAGGAGCGCACGGCACAGATGGGCCCGGCAGATGAAACATTTCCGTCACATCGTCCCCCAGCCGCGCTCGCCGCCGCCTCGGGCTCCGCCGCGCAATAAAGAGCAGCGCCGCGCTTGCCGGGCCTGGGACGGGGATCCGGGATGGGGCCTGGGCCTGGTGTCACCTCAGCGTCACCTCAATGTCACCCCGGCGTCACTCGGGCAGGGTCGGGTGGTGGCAGGGCGCTGGTGGGTGTTTTATATGGGGAATGGCTAATTGGATAAATCCTGGGGCTGTGGTTTGGTGTTTTTATGGGGAATCGTTAATTGGATAAATCCTGGATCTTTGGGACGTGTGGGTTCTGATGGGTTGGGAGAGGACACGTGGATCCTGGTGGGATTGGACATGGAGACCCCATTGGGATGGGACAGATCCTGGTGGGATGGGACATGTGGATCCTGGTGGGATTGGACGTGGAGACCCCGTTGGGATGGGATGGATCCTGTTGGGATTGGATGCAAAGACCCCAATGAGATGGGACATGGAGACCCCATTGGGATGGGACACCTGGACCCTCCTGGGGTGGCACTCTCTGCTCAGGCCGAGGCAGAGCTGGGCTCGGGGCAGATGAAACATCTCGGCAGATGAAACATTTCCGTCACATCGTCCCCCAGCCGCGCTCGCCGCCGCCTCGGGCTCCGCCGCGCAATAAAGAGCAGCGCCGCGCTTCCCGGGCCTGGGACGGGGATCCGGGATGGGGTCTGGGACTGGTGTCACCTCAGCGTCACCCTGGTGTCACCCTGGGGTCCCTCGGGCAGGGCGGGGTGGCGGCAGGGCTGTGGTGTGGTGTTTTTATGGGGAATCATTAATTGGATAAATCCTGGGGCTGTGGTTTGGTGTTTTTATGGGGAATCGTTAATTGGATAAATCCTGGATCTTTGGGACGTGTGGGTTCTGATGGGTTGGGAGAGGACACGTGGATCCTGGTGGGATTGGATGTGGACACCCCGTTGGGATGGGATGGATCCTGGTGGGATGGGACACACGGATCCTGTTGGGATTGGATGCAAAGACCCCAATGGGATGGGACATGGAGACCCCATTGGGATGGGATGGATCATGGTGGGATGGGACGAGTGGATCCTGATGGGATCGGGCAGATCTTGGTGGGATGGGATTCCCAGTTTGGGGATTCCTGGGATGGGTAGGACAGACTCGGGCTGACCTCAAATCCCATTCCCAGGAATTCCAGTGACCCCAAATCCATTCCCAGCCTTGAAAGACTCCCGGATTCCCAATTTCCCCATTCCTGCTGATTCCTGGGAACGGAGAAGACGCCGCTCCACTTCCCAGTTGTTCCCGGAGCTCCCAGTGCCCCCCACACCACTCCCGGGGCCCCTTTTCCCACCCCTCCGCTCCTTTCCAATCCTTCCCATAAAACCCCCCCAAATTCCCATAAAACCCCCCAAAATTCCCTCCCGCCCAGTGCAGCAGAGCCCTCATTAAGCCCTAATTAACCAAACCCCAACAAAACCCCATCCTCCTCTTCCTCTTCCTCCTCCTCCTCCTCGCGCTCCCCCAATCCCAGGAATTCCAGCGGGCCGGGAAGGAGCTGAGCAGGGTTCAGGCGGCTCCGCCGTGCCAGGGCTCGGCGTTAATGATTTAATAAAAATTAGCATAATTAACGAACATCTGCACGAGGCGGCGCGGGGCAATTTGGCAGCGCCAGCCGAGGCGCGAGCGCCGCTGCCGCGAGTTTTTAATGCGCTTTTAATTCTTCCTGCGCCGCGCGGGGGGAACGCTGCAGCTGGGCCGGGGAGGGTCTGGGGGCTGTGCCGACCCCGAAATCCCGGGATTTGGGAAATTCGGGCTGGATTTGGGGAAATTCAGGCTGGATTTGGGGAAATTCGGGCTGGATTTAGGCCCAGGTTTAGCCCCAGATTCGGCAGAGAAGGAATTGGGTTGTTTTAAAATTGGGATTACGGAACGGCGCAGCCTGTGGGGTTTTAGGGATAAATTTAGATTTTAGGGATCAATTTGGGGTTTTTTTCCATCCCCTCGGAAGCTGGAAAATCCCGGGATTTAGGGAAATTTAGGATTTAGGCCCTGGTTTCGCCCAAAGTTTAGCCCGAGATTCAGAGAAGGAATTGCATGGTTTTAAAATCGGTGTTGGGATTGTGGAACGGCCCAGCCTGCGGGGGTTTGGGGATAAATTTGGATTTTGGGGGAATATTTGGGGTTTAGGGATAAATTTGGGTTTTTTTCCATCCCCTCAGATGCTGGAAAATCCCAGGATTTAGGCCCAGGTTTATCCTAAGGTTTACCCCGAGATTCAGTAGAGAAGGAATTGGTTTAAAATCGGTTAAAATCGGTTTAAAATTGGTTAAAAGTGGTTAAAATTGGGATTGCTTTGAAATTGGGATTGTGGAGCGGCCAAGGTGCAGCAGAGCCTGCGAGGTTTTAGGGATAAATTCAGATTTTAGGGATAAATTTGGATTTTAGGATTAAATGTGGGTTTTTTACCCCTCTGGCACAAACCCCAAGCCGTGACCCAGGGGATTTGGGGTAGTTTTGCGGTATTTGAGGTATTTCTGTGGGATTTGGGTTTTTTGGTAGGATTTGGGGTTTTTTGTGGGATTTGGGGTATTTTCTGTGTGATTGTGGGTATTTTTGCAGGATTTTGATCTTTTTTTGTAGGATTTGGGTTTTCTGGTGGGATTTGGGGTATTTTTTGTAGGATTTGGGTTTTCTGGTGGGATTTGGGGTATTTCTGTGGGATTTAGGGTTTTTGGTAGGATTTGGGGTATTTTCTGTGGGATTTGGGGTATTTTAGTGGGATTTTGATCATTTTTGGTAGGATTTCGGGTATTTTCTGTGGGATTTGGGGTATTACTGTGGGATTTGGGGTATTTCTGTGGGATTTTGGGGTCGGAGCCCCCCAGGAAGGGCCTGACCCCGGTCCCGGTGCCACAGGAGTACCCCGGGTACGGGTGGTGGGTCGGGGAGCTCGGCCGGGACATCGGGATCGTCCCAAAGGAATTCCTGGCGCCCGCCTTCGACCTGGAGCCGTGACCGGGACAGGGACAGGGACAGGTGAGGGGTCCGGGGTCAGGTGTGGGGTTTGGGGTGCACAGCTTGGAGTTTGGGGTGTAGGGTTTGAAGTTTGGGGTGTGGGGTTTGGGTTTGGGCTTTGGGGTCAGGTTTGGGGTTTGGGGTCAGGTTTGGGGTGCGTGGTTTGGAGTTTGGGGTGTGGGGCTTTGGTTTAGGGTTTGGGGTTTGAGATTTGGGGTGTGGGTGGAGGTTCAGAATTTGGGGTTTGGGGTCATGTTTGGGATTTGGGGTTTGGGGTCAGGTTTGGGATTTGGGGTTTAAGATTTGGGGGTTGAGGTTTGGGGTGTGATGTTTGGGGTGTGAGGTTTGGGTTTGGGATTTGGGGTCATGTTTGGGGTTTGGGGTTTGAGATATGGGGTTTGGGCTCAGGTTTGGGGTTTGGGGTTTGAGATGTGGGGTGTGGGGTTGGGGGTTTGGGGTTGGAGGTTTGGGGTCAGTTTTTGGGTTTCCGATCAGGTTTGGGGGTTTGGGATGCAGGGTTTGGGGTGCAAGGTGTGGGTTTGGAGTTTGGGATTTGGGATTTGGGGTTTTGTATTTGGGATTTGGGGTCCCGCATCCATCCCCGCGTGTCCGTGGTGTCCTTGTGTCCATCCCCCATTTTCCCTGGAGCAGGTGGGACCGGGAATGGCAGCGCGGGGACAACGCCACCCACGGCATTCCCTGGATCCCACAAATCCCACAAATCCCACAAATCCCATGGGATTCCCGCAGCAGAGCCACGCACGGAGGACCCAGCGCTGGCACCGAGCGGATTTATCCCAAAATTCCCTCCTGGAGCCATTCCACGGGGAAGCTGAGGCACGCATCCTGCTTTTCCCAAAAACCCCAAATCCCCTGGAGATCTCCTGCTCTCGTTATCCCGCTTTTCCTGGGTCAGTCCCAAATCCCTGGAGATCCCAAATCCAGGTATTCCCCAATCCCAAATCCAGGTGTTCCCCAATCATAAATCCAGGTGTTCCCCATTCCCAAACCCAGGTGTTCCCCTATCCCAAATCCAGGTGTTCCCCATTCCCAAATCCAGGTGTTCCCCATTCCCAAACCCAGGTGTTCCCCTATCCCAAATCCAGGTGTTCCCCATTCCCAAATCCAGGTGTTTGTTTCCCATTTCCAAATCCAGGTGTTCCCCAATCCCAAATCCAGGTGTTTTCCCTCAATAAATCCCTTTTCCCTCTCCAAATTTGGCTGCTCCAGGAATTATCTGGAATGATCTGGAATGGTTGGGAATGATCTGGAATGATCAGGAATGGTCGGGAATGGCCCCTTTGCTGTCAGGGTGAACCCAGTGCATCCTCCTCCTGTTTTTTCCTGTTTTTTCCTGTTTTTTCCTGTTTTTTCCTGTTTTTTCCTGCTTTTCCCGCTCTCCCTCCCATCCCGCACTGATGCTGGCGGGGCCCTGCCGGCCCCAATCCCTCCGGAATTCCCAAGTTGGGCTCGGATCCCTCTGGAGCGGATCCCCGAATTCAGATCAGATCCCCGGATTTGGATCCGATCCCTGGATTGGGATCAGATCCCTGGGTTCAGAGCGGACCCACAGAACCTGGGTGGATCCCAGGATTCCGATCCGATCCTGGCCACAGCCATGCCATGGCAGCATTGTGCTCATGAATATTAATGAATGTTGTGAATATTAATGAGGGGACCGACCAATCACAGCCACTCCCGCTGCCCCCAAGGGATTCCCAACATTCCCGGCCCTTCCCTGGAGCCAGAACCTCCCCAAAATTCGCCCCTGGGGTGAGCAATTCCCGAATTCCCAAATCCCGAAATTCCCGACGCTTCTCCCACCCCCGAGCCCGGCAGAACCCAGAAAACCTCCTCCACTTCCGTTTTGGGTTTTATTCATTTATTTTTATTTTTATTTAATTTTTATTTCCTGCCCGCACCAAGTGCTGAGGGAGGGGGAGACACCGAAGCCACCCGAGCTGCTCCTGCTTCCCCAAAAATCCCTGGAGCAGCCCCAGAGGGAAGGGGACACAAATTCCAGCCCCAAACTCCATTGCTCCCTTTTCCCGGCGGGAAGCTCGGCTCTGATTGTCCCAGTTTGGGAATTCCAGAGGGATTTGGGCCCAGTTTGGGGATTTGACCCCAGATTAGGAATTCCAGAGGGATTTGGGCCCAGTTTAGGGATTCCAGAGGCATTTGAACCGAGTTTGGGGATTCCAGAGGGATCTGAGCAGGAGCAGAGTGAGGAAAACCCTGCTGGGAATATCAGGAATATCAGGAATGTGCTGGGGAAGAGCTCGGCCGTGGCTGGGGCCGCATTCCCAGTGCTCCCAGTGCTCCCAGTGCTCCCAGTGCGCCATCCCAGTGGCTCCGTGTTGATCCCTCTCCCAGCGAGGGCTGCGGGGCCTGGGGGTGTCCTGAGGGGTCACTCAGTGTCCAGTTGGGAATTTCGGGAATCCCAGGCTCTCCTTAGAGGTCACTCCATGTCCAGCTGGACACTCTGGGCTGTCCAGAGGGGTCACTCGGTGCTCTGGCCTGTCCAGAGGGGTCACTGGGTGTCCGGCCGGACGCTCGGGGCTGTCCAGAGGGGTCACTGGGTGTCCGGCCGGACGCTCGGGGCTCTCCGGCCGCGTCTCGTCCGTGCCAAGGTCACCCCAGTAGGGGAAGCTCTCCAGGCAGCCCCGGGCACTGCCCAGGCTGGCACAGCTGGGAAACAGAGCAGGGAAAGGGAATGACCCAGGGAATGTCAGGATTTTTTGGACACAGCTCCATCCCAGCTGGAAAAGGGAGATGTCCCCAGCCCAGGGACACTCCAGCTCTCCTGCCTGGGCTCCTGTGCCCCGGGATCCACAGGGAGGAGCTGGGGCTGTCCCGGGCTGCTCCCCCTGTCCCGCGCCCATTTCCCACCACAGTCCCAGCCGGGAGCAGGTCCCTGCCCTCACCTGGCTGTCCCTGCCCTCACCTGGCTGTCCCTCCCCTCACCTGGCTGTCCCTGCCCTCACCTGGCTGTCCCTGCCCTCACCCGCCCGGTCCCTGCCCTCACCTGGCTGTCCCTGCCCTCACCTGGCTGTCCCTCCCCTCACCTGGCTGTCCCTGCCCTCACCCGCCCGGTCCCTGCCCTCACCTGGCTGTCCCTGCCCTCACCTGGCTGTCCCTGCCCTCACCCGCCCGCTCCCTGCCCTCACCTGGCTGTCCCTGCCCTCACCTGGCTGTCCCTCCCCTCACCTGGCTGTCCCTGCCCTCACCTGGCTGTCCCTGCCCTCACCCGCCCGGTCCCTGCCCTCACCCGCCCGCTCCCTCCCCTCACCTGGCTGTCCCTGCCCTCACCTGGCTGTCCCTGCCCTCACCCGCCCGCTCCCTGCCCTCACCCGCCCGCTCCCTGCCCTCACCCGCCCGCTCCCTGCCCTCACCTGGCCGGGCCCAGCCCCGCGCCGTCGCTGTCCCCGCGCTGTCCCCAGGCGGGCCCGGCCATGGCGTAGTGCAGGATGGCCTCGGTGACCGAGTGGGGACCCCGGCCCTGCACGCAGGCCTCGATGGCGGGCACGGGCAGCTGGCTCTGCAGGAACAGGTGCAGGCGGCTGTCGGACAGCAGCACCGCGCTCTGCACCACCCTGGGGACACGGGGACACGACGGGGACAGGTCACCTCTGCACCTGCTGGCACCTGCTGGCACCTGCTGGCACCTGCTGGCACCTGCCACCCCGCAGGGACAGGTCACCCCTGCTGGCACCTTGTCACCTGCCACCCTGGGCACACAGACAGCAAGGACAGCAGGGACACCAGGGACAGCAGTGGCACAGGAGGGACAGCAGGGACACCAGAGGGACACCAGGGACAGCAGTGGCGCAGGAGGGACAGCAGGGACACCAGAGGGACACCAGGGACAGCAATGGCACAGGAGGGACAGCAGGGACACCAGAGGGACACCAGGGACAGCGGGGACGGTCACCAGGGCGGCCCGGCCCTCCCTGCTGCCACCTCCTGGCCACCCCGGGGCACTGCACCCTCCCCAAATCCCGAGCCCCAAATCCCATCCCCTGAACCCCAAATATCCCAAATCCCAAACAACCCCAAACCCCAAATCCCAAATATCTCCACCCCCAAATCCCAAACATCCCAAAGCTCAAACCATCCCAAATCCCAAACCACAAATCCCCCAAACCCCAAACCATCCCAAACTCCAAATCCCAAACATCCCAAAGCTCAAACCATCCCAAATCCCAAACCACAAATCCCAAATATCCCAAACCACAAATCCCAAATATCCCAAACAACCCCAAACAGCCCCAAATACCCCAACCACGCCCACCTCTCCAGGAAGTGCTGCAGCCCCTGCCGGCGCCTCTCGATGAACTCATCCGTGCTGCCCACGAAAAACGCCGATTTCCCCGGCAGCTCCGGCACCGGCCTGGAAAATCGGGGTGAAGCTCTGGGGTGGGCCCCGTGGGGACCCCAGACCCCCCCCCCAGTTCAGGGTGGGACCCCAGAGCCCCCAGTTCAGGGTGGGACCCCAGACCCCCCGGTCCAGGTGGGACCCCAGACCCCCCCCAGTTCAGGTGGGACCCCAGACCCCCTCGGTTCAGGGTGGGACCCCAGACCCCCCCCAGTTCAGGGTGGAACCCCAGAGCCCCCAGTTCAGGTGGGACCCCAGACCCCTCAGTTCAGGGTGGGACCCCAGACCCCCCAGTTCAGGTGGGAGCCCAGACCCCTCAGTTCAGGTGGGACCCCAGACCCCCCCCCAGTTCAGGTGGGACCCCAGACCCCCCGGTCCAGGTGGGACCCCAGAGCCCCCGGTCCAGGTGGGACCCCAGACCCCCCCCCAGTTCAGGTGGGACCCCAGAGCCCCCGGTCCAGGTGGGACCCCAGAGCCCCCCCAGTTCAGGTGGGACCCCAGACCCCCCCCCCAGTTCAGGTGGGACCCCAGAGCCCCCGGTCCAGGTGGGACCCCAGAGCCCCCCCAGTTCAGGTGGGACCCCAGACCCCCCCCCCAGTCCAGGTGGGACCCCAGAGCCCCCCCCAGTTCAGGTGGGACCCCAGACCCCTCAGTTCAGGTGGGACCCCAGACCCCCCCTCAGTTCAGGTGGGACCCCAGACCCCCCGGTCCAGGTGGGACCCCAGAGCCCCCGGTCCAGGTGGGACCCCAGAGCCCTTACACCAGGCCGGCGTTGCGCTGGAGCTGCCGCCGCAGCCACACGAACTCGCGGTAGCGGCGCCGCACGCACGAGGTCTTGGCGGTGAAGGCCCTGCTGTTGGTCTGGGAGCGATGGGACGGGAGAGATCCCTCAGGATCACTGGGAATGATCCCCAGGAAGGGTCCCTGGGAGAGATCTCTGGGAGAGACCCTCAGGGATCCCTGGGAATCACCCCTGGCTGGGAGAGATCCCCGGGAGGGATCCCTGAAGGATCACTGGGAATGGTCCCTGAGGAATCCCTGGGAGAGATCCCATTGAGAGATCCCATTGAGAGACCCCTGGGAATGATCCCCAGGAGGGATCCCCAGGAGTGACCCTGGGAGGAATCCCTGGGAATGGTCCCTGGGAGAGACCCTGGGTGGGATCCCTGGGAATCGAGGGCTGAGGGAAGCAGGATGGGGATGATGCCCGGGATTGATCCCTGGGAACTACCCATGGGATCAAGGGGCTGGATCTCAGCCACCGAGGGAGCCAGGATGGGAATCATCCATGGGAATTACCCATGGGATCAAGGGGCTGGATCTCAGCCACCGAGGGAGCCAGGATGGGAATCATCCATGGGAATTACCCATGGGATCAAGGGGCTGGATCTCAGCCACCGAGGGAGCCAGGATGGGAATCATCCATGGGAATTACCCATGGGATCAAGGGGCTGGATCTCAGCCACCGAGGGAGCCAGGATGGGAATCATCCATGGGAATTACCCATGGGATCAAGGGGCTGGATCTCAGCCACCGAGGGAGCCAGGATGGGAATCATCCATGGGAATTACCCATGGGATCAAGGGGCTGGATCTCAGCCACCGAGGGAGCCAGGATGGGAATCATCCATGGGAATTATCAGGGGATTGAGGGGCTGGATCTGGCCTGGACAGAGGAGCCAGGATGGGAATCATCCATGGGAATTATCAGGGGATCGAGGGGCTGGATCTCAGCCACCGAGGGAGCCAGGATGGGAATCATCCATGGGAATTATCAGGGGATCGAGGGGCTGGATCTGGCCTGGACAGAGGAGCCAGGATGGGAATCATCCATGGGATCGAGGGCCGGGATCTCAGTCCCTGCAGGATCCCCTGGATGCCGGATCCGGGAGCCAACCCAGGACAGGATCCCGAGCATCCCCATCCCCTCCATTCCCCTGGGGACAATCCCACCCCCGAGCCCGTCCCGGGGCTCTCCCCAATCCCAGCTCACGTGCAGGAAGATCTTGTAATCCACGTAGGAGTTCCAGGAGCCCTCGTTCTGCACGCGCGGATCCTGCACGCGCACCGTGGTCAGCTCCTGCGGGGAACCGGGAACGGGATCAGGGATCCACACAGCCCTGCTTCCCTGGGATGGCATTGGGAACAGGGGTCTGCCTGTTCCTGCTGTCCTGGGATGGGACTGGCGGCTCTGGGATCAGGGATCCACCCCAGTCCTGCTTTTCCAGCTTCCCAGGAATGGCACAGACGGCTCCAGACATTCCCATTTCCCATCCCTGCTTTCCCAGACATTCCCATTTCCCATCCCTGCCTTCCCAGACATTCCCATTTCCCATCCCTGCTTTCCCAGACATTCCCATCCCTGCTTTCCCAGACATTCCCATTTCCCATCCCTGCTTTCCCAGACATTCCCATCCCTGCTTTCCCAGACATTCCCATTTCCCATCCCTGCTTTCCCAGACATTCCCATCCCTGCTTTCCCAGACATTCCCATTTCCCATCCCTGCTTTCCCAGACATTCCCATCCCTGCTTTCCCAGACATTCCCATTTCCCATCCCTGCTTTCCCAGACATTCCCATCCCTGCTTTTCCAGACATTCCCACTCCCATCCCAGTTTTCCCAGGCATTCCCAATTCCCACTGGCCCCAGGACTCAGCCCCATGCTCTCCCAGGAATTAATTATCTAACAGAGATGGAATTCCCAAGAATTCGGGATTTGGGGATAACCCAGGGGTGCTCCTCACTTCCTCTCGGTTCTCCAACATCCTAGAGCCAGAGCCCAGCGGGAAACATCTGGGAAAGGAAAAGAATTAAAAGGGGTTTAGAGAAATCCTTTCTGTGGGTTTTCCGTGGATCCTGCATCCCCCGGAATTCCGGGATCCTGCAGGTTTTTGGGAAGAATGGAAATCCCTGGAATCTGGGGGAAAGCCTCAGTTTAAGGTGCTCTGGGATTCCCAGTTTGGGGTTATTTCCCTCAGATTCGGGATTTTCCAAAGGATCTGCCGCCTCTCACCTGCCCGGGATTGGGGTTCAAGGAAAGAATTCCAGGGAAATTCCTCATTTCCAGGGAAATGCCTGCCAGGGAAAGTGCCCATTGTTATCGCGGGCTCCTTATCTTCCATCCTGATCCAGCCCTGAAAACCTTTCCCAACCCTCTGGAGCAGCAGGAACCCTCATTCCCATCGGGAGCCAGAAAAACGGGAATGAGCCCCAGCTATTCCCGATTTTCCCTGCAATGGGTGAATCCCTGAGGATCCCCATAAACCCCACTTATTCCCTGTTTTCCTTGCACACACTAGAACATTGGCAATTAGTTTTCTCGGGATTTTTTTTCCAGGATCTTTTGCCTTGCAGGGAAGGAGAGGATTCCTCATCCCGCCCCATTGCCCCTTCCCGGGGATGTCCCAAAACCCCGGGAAAAGCCGGAAAAACGGGAATGAATCCCGGTTATTCCTTTCCCACGCTTGTAAAACACCGCGGGGGAATTCCCGGGGCTGTTTCGCCTTTCCAGGGAAGGAGAAGATTCCCCGGGACAGGGACCGGAGCCGGGCCCGGCCCCAGCCGAGCCCCGGGCCGGGACAGGCCGCGGAACGGGGACAGCAACGAGCCCCAAAACCCCGGGGAAAAGCCGGAAAACGGGAATTAAGCCCATTTATTCCTTTCCCACGCCTCCTGTTAAGCGCCGTGGGGGGAATTGCCGAGGATTTGGGAATTCTCCGGACGGGATCGGAACCGAGCCCAGAACCGGACCCAGCCCCGGGCCGGCCCCGCCGGGAGAGGCCGCGGAATGGGGGCGAGGCCCGGCCCAGCGCGGCCGCCTCCTCCCGGGGGTTTGGGGACACCGGGACCCCCGAGGGGATACCGGGACCCCCCAGGAGACACCGGGACCCCCAAATCCGCGCCCTCCCCTCAGGGCCCCCTCACCTCGCACAGACCGCGGCCCCTTTAAACGGCGGCGGCAGCGCGCGAGTTTATAGTGCGGGCGGTGCCGGAACTTCCGGTGCGGAGCATGCTGGGAGTTGTAGTCAGGACGGGCCTGTGGTGGCGGGTGCCGCCCCCGCCCTGGCACGAGGAGGGGCTGGAGCAGCTGAGGGATGTGGGAATGTTTATCCTGGAGAAAAGAGGGAACGGGAGGGACCTGCTGGCTCTTCACAGGTCTCTGACAGGCGGGGCAGCCGTGGGGTCAGGTTCTGCTTCCAGGGGACAGGATAGGAGGAGAGGGAATGGCCTCAGGCTGGGCACCAGCTGGAATTTCTCCGTGGAAATGGGGATACGGCACTGGCACAACTGTCCAGGGCAGCGCTGGAATCCCCATCCTCAGAGGAATGATTGGACCTGGCGATCTCAGAGGGCTTTTCCAGCCTGAGTGATTCTAAGATTCTCTAAATAAGATTATTTATGGAGCCCATAAACGGGACCTTCTCTGGGCACTGGCACGGGATGGGCACGGCCCAGTGGAGGTGGCACTCGGGGCTCTGACCTGAGGGACAAAGCGCTTTTGGGTCACGCCTTCAACTCAAAGACTTTCTCCCCGTTAATGACTTTAATTATTTAATAAACAACGAGCAGGACGGAGAGGCCTGACCATCCCGGACTACACCTCCCATCAAGTCCCGCGAGAGCGGCGGACTGCAGCTCCCATCGCACCTCGCGCGCACGCAGCGCCGCCGCTCTCCTCGGACTACACCTCCCATCATGCCCCGCGCCCCACAACGGAACGCAGCGCGGCTCGGCGGCGGCGCGGACTACAGCTCCCGGCGTGCCCCGCTCGGGCGCGGCGCAGGCGCGGTGCGTGCGGCGGGCAGCGGCGCTGGCCGGGCTCTTTTGTTCAGGGCGGCGGACGGAGCGCGGCCAGGCCCGGGCCCCCCCCCGACCCCCGAGCGCGCCCCCCGCGCCCCTTCCCTCGGACACCGGCGGCGGGGCTGTGCAAGGTCAGCGGGGAACCCGCACCGGCCGCGGGGGGGGCGCGGCGGCCACCGGCGGCGTGGGGGGGTCGGGGGTGAGGGGGTGAGGGGGGGCGGGGCGGCCGTGGGGGAGGGGAGGGGGAAAGGGGGGCTGGGGGGGGAGGGGAGTGAGGGGGGGTTGGGGAGGGGAAAGGGGATGGGGTCTGTGAGGGGGCTTGGGGAGGGGGTCAGTGTAGGGATGGATTTGGGGCTGGGGTCTGTAGGGATGGGTTTGGGGTGATGGAGAGGGGATTTGGGGCTGGGGTCAGTGTAGGGATGGATTTGAGGTGATGGAGAGGAGATTTGGGCCTGGAGTCAGTGTAGGGATGGATTTTGGGGTGATGAGGAGGGGATTTGGGGCTGGGGTCAGTGTGAGAAGAGATTTGGGGGTGATGGAGAGGGGATTTGGGGATGGAGTCAGTGTAGGGCGGAATTTGGGGCTGGAGTTGGTATAGGGACAGATTTTGGGGCTGGGGTCAGTGTAGGGAGGGATTTTGGGGTGCAGGGATGGTCAGGAGAAGGGATGGGAGAAGACTGAGGGGGGATTTGGGGATCAGTGCAGGGACGGATTCTGGGTGATGGGGAAGGGGTCAGCGATGGGTTTCGATTTGTGAGGGGGAAAAAGTGAAATTTGTGGAGGAAAATGGGGAATTGTGAGGGGGAAAAAAGTGGGATTAGTGAGGGGAAAAGTGGCCCTTGGCAGGGGGGAAAACTGGAATTTGTGAGGGGAAAAAAATTGGGATTTGTAGAGGAGAAGGGGGAATTTGTGAGGGGGAAAGTGCCATTTGTGAGGGGGGAAGTGCCATTTGTGAGGGAGAAACCTGGGATTTGTGGAGGAAAAGGGGGAATTTGTGAGGGAAAAACCTGGAATTTGTGAGGGGAAAAGTGCCATTTGTGAGGGGAAAAGTGCCATTTGTGAGGGGGAAAAGTGCCATTTGTGAGGGGAAAACCTGGGATTTTTGGAGGAAAAGGGGGATTTGTGAGGGGAAAGTTGAATTTTCGAGGGAAAGACCTGGGATTTGTGAGGGGAAAAGCGTGATTTTGGGGCACGGGGCTTTAAAAACGCCGTGTTGTGAGGGGCAGGGTCCGGATGGGGAGCGGGACGGAGCGAGAGCTTTTGGCGGGAAACGGGAAAAATCCCGGGAATGCGGGCTCGGAACGGGAATTCGGGAATCCTGGGGCCGGGAATGCGCTGCGAGCGGAGCAGGAGCTGTTTTGGGGTGAATCTGCGGGATTTTGGGGAGCTGGGAAAGGTTTCTGGGGTATCTGTGTGTCCGGAGAAGGGGCTGGGAAAGGTTTTCCCGGGAAAAAGCGGATTTGGAGCCGGGGTTATCCCGGGAATGTTCCCTGGGGGAGTTTTGGGTGGGAGAAAAGGGGATTTTGGGGCTGAAAAAAGGGGGATTTTGGGGGCGAGGAAAAGGGGATTTTGAGGTGAGGAAAAGGGGATTTTGGGGGTGAGGAAAAGGGGATTTTGGGGGTGAGGAAAAGGGGATTTTGGGTGATAGAAAAGGGGATTTTGGGGGTGAGGAAAAGGGGATTTTGGGTGATAGAAAAGGGGATTTTGGGGGTGAGGAAAAGGGAATTCTCCCTGGAATGCGGATGGGGGGGATGATGCCAGGGATGGGTTTGGGAGCAGCTTCGTGTGTTCCCATAAAACTGAGGGGATAATGATTGGGATTGTGGCGGGATAATTCTGGGATTTGCTGTGACAAAGGCTGGAAATGTGGGAAGGGAATAGGGAGGGATAATCCCCAAATTCCTCAGGAAATTGGGAGGGGAGGGCTCCTGGAATCCATGGAATTCAGCTGGGAAATGCTGCTCCTGCCGCCGGGAATGGGCTTGGAATGCAGCCCTTGGGAATGTGGGAAAAAGAGATCCCAAAAATGCCCCAAAATGTCCAGAATCAGGGCTTTTCCCACCTCTGGATCCAGAGTTTTTCCAGCTCGGAATCCAGGGGTTTCCTGGCTCCGAATCCAGAATATTCCCAGCTCTGAATCTAGAATATTCCAAGCCGGCGCTGGGTGGGATTTCAGGAATTTTGGATTCCCCGAACAGCTCTGGGATGAAGGGCTGGATGAATATCCCAGAGCATCCATGGTCCAGCAAGGGAGTGACCATGGGGAGGTCGGGATCTGGGAATGGGACCTGGGATTAATTGGGATTAACAACTGGTGGAATTGGAGTTGGTGTAAACCCCTGGAGTTCACAGAAATCCCACTTTTCCCAAGGGCCGAAGGGCAGCCCCGGGAGCTCAGGAACGAGCTGGGAAAATTTGGGAAAGGCTGGGAAAAAAAAAAAAACAAACCACAAAGCAGCTTTTAGGGGGAAAAAAAAATCATGGAATTGCTGAAATTGAAGAGTGGGGAAGGCAGAAATCCAAATCTTTGTGCCAAAATCCTGGCGTAAATCCACTGGGAATTCCCGCATGGATTCCTGCCCTGATCCCGGCTTTTTTTCCCCCCGTTTTTGATGGGAATATCCCAGTGTTCCCAAGGAGCTCCAGTGGGGCTGGGAGAGAAAATCCTGGAAAATCCCAGTGTGCCAGGGTGGGAATATCCCAGTGTTCCCAATGAAAATCCCAGTGTTCCCAAGGATTTCCCATCCCAGGGAAAATTCCAGTGTTCCCAATGAAAATCCCAGTGTTCCCAGGGAAAATCCCAGTGTTCCCAAGGATTTCCTATCCCAGGGAAAATCCCAGTGTTCCCAATGAAAATCACAGTGTTCCCAGGGAATATCCCAGTGTTCCCAATGAAAATCACAGTGTTCCCAGGGAATATCCCAGTGTTCCCAAGGAGCTCCAGCAGGACAAGAAGAGGGGAACATGGGTGGAAAAATCCCAATGAAAATCCCAGTGTTCCCAGGGAAAATCCCAGTGTTCCCAAGGCTTTCCTATCCCAGACAAAATCCCAATGTTCCCGAGGAGCTCCAGCAGCACAGGGAGAGAAAATCCCAGGAAATCCCAGTGTGCCAGGGTGGGAAATCCCATTCCAGCCTGGAAACAGCTCCTGGAGGATTCCCCCTCAATCCCAGCGTGGAATCCAGGAATTCCCTGCTCAGCAGGAACCCCAGTCCCAAACTGTACATCCCCGCATTCCCAGCATCCCAGTGAGCTCAAATCCCGGGGTTTTTCCCCCGTTTTTGCCCCCTGCAGCAGCCCGGGAAAGCGGAGAAGCTGGCCAGCACAATGGGAAAGAAGCAGAACAAGAAGAAGGTGGAGGAGGTGCTGGAGGAGGAGGAGGAGGAGTACGTGGTGGAGAAGGTGCTGGACCGGCGCGTGGTCAAGGGCAAGGTGGAATACCTGCTCAAGTGGAAGGGCTTCTCCGAGTGAGTCATTCCC